AAAAGAATGCAACCATGAACCAAAGTACCATGCAAATTGCAAGAAAGTGAATGTGACTGATAGAAAATGTTCCCGCGTCGTTGCCAATACGATACGATACCGATACGAGCGTACCTAAACCTGTGTGCGATTCAGAAACCTGAAGAAACCTGGCGACATTTCGATCCGGCGCGTTGTTCCGTTTGTAAAATCAATTTGCATCGATTCTGGATTTAACCGGGAGGCATTAACTTCTCTCTGGTGCGAGCTAACGCGGCCGGTAAATGCCGGCTGAAATGCAGTTGCGGATTGTATTGGCAGCGAAGTGAGAATATTGGATCGCATTGAACCGTTGACCGCGGAAGCTGATTCGACAGACAAAATCGATTGTTCGCACTCTTGACGTTTATGTCTTGGGACATATTGTACGTGCGCGTTCCACGATCATTCAGAATTCTCGGAGAATTTCCCAAATTTTTCCCTTGAATTGACTTTTACTTTCACGTTATATTTCCTTTCGCTTGTTCCATTTTTTTTTTTTTTTACTGCGAAATTTCGTCACCGTGATACAATGGCGATGAGTTTTGAATCAGCGTTCCGCGGCTCAGCAGATCATCGATACGATCCGACCTCGAAAGACCACGATATATCTTTGATTTGTAACAGTCGAGTTGCGGTGATGCGAGGCCAAGTTGTAACCGAACAAGGGATCGGAATAGTAGGCATCAGGGTGTCCGTGGACAGGGACCCCCGCTTTGGATTCACGTTGACCAGAGCTGACGGATGGTGAGTACACTAGCTTTGCCATTGTTACACCACGTCGTAACGAAGAATACGTAATAGAACCGGATGTGTGGCCGTGAACAGGTCATTTATTCAAAACTGACAAAATATAACACATATATGTCACAGCGTGAATATCGACAAAACAGATAGATCGCTGCCTCGTGAAATGTACTAAAAAAAACCAATATACGTTTCGGCGAAAAGAGACGAAATGAACGTACGCTGTGCCAAATTTCATCTTCCACTGGTTGAAATCAAATTCACGCGTGTATTATGCGCCACAATCAGCCGTTGAGAATCGAAATCTACACTGTGTAGGCAGCTCGATCGATCGAACGATCCAATATCCCGAGCGATATCCATTCCCGATATCTCGAGAGAGAGAGAGAGAGAGAAAGAAAAATCCGCGCAGGACACGTGTCATTCGCGTATCGGTAGATAACGCGGGCAAACATATGTGACGATAGTTAGTATTTGCGCCGGATAGGCGTGTACGGCAGCTTGGACGTCCTTGGTAATAGGATCAAGGGTGCATTGTAATGAAGGGTATGGGGTGGTGGATGGGATGAAACACCTATATCAAACCAGGTATATAGTAATCCTGGCGAGGATAATCCTGAAACACGAAGCCGGAGGAGTTGGCCTGGTAAACCACATCAAAGCTCGAGCTAATGATGTCGAAAGCTTCCTAATTACTCCGTGCAAACCTGTGTGATTAGTCTAACCTGCGTCTATCCGTCGCTATCTCTCCTTCCCTCTCCAATCGGATCGCTGGACGAAATTTTACCGTGATACGGTGAACCGTGAACGTGCGAGGCATATTATGCATTGAGAGGAAACTCGTCGAGAGAGAAACGATAACCGGTTCGTTCCATCTGTTTTCTTCTGTCCTCTCTCTCTCTCTCTCTCTCTCTCTCTCTCTCCCCCTAGCTTGCAATCTCATGTAATCCGAAAACAGAAGTTCAAAGTAGAATTTCCTCGTATTCGTGGGATGAATGAATACGGGACCGAGTGATAAATTGGCAGTTATTGCGCGTTCGTCGTTGTTTGATCGCGAAATGTCCCCGCGATTCGTGTGTCTGTAACGCGACAGAGGACTTTCAAAACGGATTTCAAGCGTGTCGAGGCAAAAGTTGCAACACACAGTGTAGACGGAATCTGAACGAGGAGCTCAGTTCCTTGATGTCGCTTCTCGTTGGCCTGAAGAACGAAAGGGTATTCCCTCGTCGTTACAAGTGGCTGACGTTTCTTGGCTGCCTTGGAAATCAAACTTTTACTACACCTTCTTTTACGATTTATTAATATTCCATTCTACTTTGTTCCATTCGTCGAAAGAGCACGATCAAATCCACAATCTAATCATTAAATCGCGATTAGATTTAGAGACAATTGGCAGAGCCTGATAATCCTTGATCCTTCGTCGATCAACAAGATGTAACACAACAGCCCTTGCTCAAGCGAGGACTATACATGTAGTACTAGAACAGTCAAGATATATGTTAGATATATAGTTTCGAGATGCGAATT